ATTACAACTTGTTGTAACCCGGATGTTTGACAGCTTGAGGTTACAACTTATTGTTACCCGGATGTTTGACAGCTTGAGATTACAACTTGTTGTAACCCGGATGTTTGACAGCTTGAGATTACAACTAGCCGTAACCTAGATGACACCTTGAGATTACAACTAGCTGTAACCCGAATATTTGACAGCTTGAGATTACAACTAGCTGTAACCTAGATGTTTGACAGCTTGAGATTACAACTAGCTGTAACCCGGATGTTTGACACCTTGAGATTACAACTTGTTGTAACCTGAATGTTTGACAGCTTGAGATTACAACTAGCTGTAACCCGGATGTTTGACAGCTTGAGATTACAACTTGTTGTAACCCTGATGTTTGACAGTTTGAGATTACAACTAGCTGTAACCTGGATGTTTGACAGCTTGAGATTACAACTAGCTGTAACCTGGATGTTTGACAGCTTGAGATTACAACTAGCTGTAACCTGGATGTTTGATAGCTTGAGATTACAACTTGTTGTAACCTGAATGTTTGACAGCTTGAGATTACAACTAGCTGTAACCCTGATGTTTGACAGTTTAAGATTACAACTAGCTGTAACCCGGATGTTTGACAGCTTGAGGTTACAACTAGCTGTAACCTGGATGTTTGACAGCTTGAGATTACAACTTGTTGTAACCTGAATGTTTGACAGCTTGAGATTACAACTAGCTGTAACCCTGATGTTTGACAGTTTAAGATTACAACTAGCTGTAACCCGGATGTTTGACAGCTTGAGGTTACAACTAGCTGTAACCTGGATGTTTGACAGCTTGAGATTACAACTAGCTGTAACCTGGATGTTTGACAGCTTGAGATTACAAAATCACATCCTGGATGGCAGACCAAGGCATTCCTAGAACCCCAAGCAACCTTCACAACTGCTGTATCAATCGGGTGTAACCTGCAGAGCTGGTCCAGTGAGGACTTGTGGTGCTTGTGGTATCTCATTGCAGTTTGTCCCCTACAAGATTGCAGTTTGTCCCCTACAAGATTGCAGTTTGTCCCCTACAAGATTGCAGTTTGTCCCCTACAAGATTGCAGTTTGTCCCCTACAAGATTGCAGTTTGTCCCCTACAAGATTGCAGTTTGTCCCCTACAAGATTGCAGTTTGTCCCCTACAAGATTGCAGTTTGTCCCCTACAAGATTGCAGTTTGTCCCCTACAAGATTGCAGTCACCAGGGCTAACATCTTAAGAATGAGAATCCCACACGCACAAGTCCCGGTAAACCCCCTGCTACCATAAGATTATACCGGGGATCGCGACGATTAGGAAGTAGCCGGCAGTCTGGATCGGGTGGGAATCCGGTATTGTGTGGCCAGTACAGTCTTATTCTATTTATATACATGATGTGTAACTTCAAAGGCGTCCTGACCCTGGTGGGGCTGCAGGATAAACCTGGTTGATGTAGCTGTCAGGGGGGTGGCCTAATTATGACTTGTTTAGAGGTTGAAGGTGGTATCCGGGAGCTACTTTGTCGGTCTGCTATCCCAGTAGAGATTCCCAAACCTCAGAATGGTGTAGTACATCCTCAGGCAGCAGATCGGAGGCGACAAATCGATATAAATTTAAAGACATCGCTAATATTTAGGATACACTAAGCAAGAGACAGAAATGTAAATCTACAAACGTTCATAAAAAGAGAAAAGAAGAATTACAACCAGCTAAGAGCTCTCAATAAAACTAATAGAAAAAAGAGAACAAACAATTAAATCTGATGAAAAATTAGAATAGCAGCAGTTCTGGATCTCATTAGAAGAGAACAGCTGAAATGGTTTGGCCATTTAACGTTGATGGCAGCAGACAGTATACCACAGCAGGCAATGATCTTTAGAGCAGGCGAGACGTGAAGAAGACGCCGACCAGGAGGGTAAAGTAAAGAGGCCCGGGAATCCTAATTTACGATGCACAGAAACGGTCCCTTTTCCATAAATGATGCTTGACTTCGGCACAGTTATGATTCATTGCGTTTCTTTGCTAAGATGCCAAGGTAAAAAATGGTACCCCACCAGGACATCACACAGAGCGATAAACACACAGTGACACAAGGATCACCCGTGGGCAGGTCCCATAAACCGTGTTCAACCGTTAGGCTAAATTGCGGCCCCTGGCAACAGCTAGTGTGGGGCTTCTAAAAAACGGAAAATTGTGTCCAACATGGAAGATGACTTACTAAAATGCCTATGTGCAAAGTAGTAGTAGTAGTAGTAGCAGCAGCAGCAGCAGCAGCAGCAGTAGTAGTAGTAGTAGTAGTAGTAGTAGTAGTAGTAGTAGTAGTAGTAGTAGTAGTACATTTTACCCCACTAGGACATCACACAAGCGATAAACATTCGATGACACAAAATGCCACCATGTGGATGAGGATCACCCGTGGAGAGGTCCCAGAAACCGCGTTCAGCCATTATACCATATTATGGCTGGGCTATATTGCGGCCCCTGGCAAGAGCTAGGGTGGGGCTTCAAAATAATGAAAAATTACATCTCACAATAAGGTAATTCGTTCTGTTTTCTTCTATATTTTTGTTGTTGGCTTGGCTTGGCTTTTTACCCCACCAGGACATCACACAAGCGATAAACACCCGATGACACAAAGTGTCACCATGCGGATGAGGATCACCGTGGAGAGGTCCAAGAAACCGCGTTCAAACATTTGGCCATAATGATGACCTGCCTATATTGCGGCCACTGGCAAAAGCCAGAGTAGGGCTTCAAATAACAAAAAATAACGTCCTGAGAAGGACGTAAGGGATTATACATATTTTTTTTTGTTGACTGACTGACTGACTTTCTACCCCACCAGGACATCACACAAGCGACAAACACCCGATGACACAAAGTGCCACCATGCGGATGAGGATCGCCGTGGAGAGGTCCCAGAAACCGCGTTCAGACATTTGGCCACATTTATGGCCTGCCTATATTGCGGCCCCTGGCAAAAGCCAGAGTAGGGCTTCAAATGACAAAAAATTTCGTCCTGAAAAGGACGAAACTGGATATTTTTGTTGTTGTTGTTGTTAAAAGGCTATTGTGCAAGGATCAAAATGAGATCAGATGAGACGTACGTTACATACAGTCACCAACAACTGAACGCACGAACCAACTTTATTTTCAAAGTTGTTATAATTGTAATAAATCTGGAGGATATATACCATATTTCTAAAATACGATCAAGACAAGCAATGAATCTGTTTGTTAGTTGATTTAGTGCAGTCTACAGAGTTTTTGTACACAGATATCACTGCTGATAATGCAAGCATTTTATATATTCACATCTTTATCACATGTTGCTTGTGAACTTTTTCTGTGAATAAACTGACTAACATTTGTCATTAAGACTTGTGTTTAATGTCCTAATTTATTGAAATGCTACACCGTGGAGTTCTCTTTTGGGGCACAACTGGCAGTTTTTGTCGGATTCGAAGCCATGCCATTGAGAGAAAAGTCATTAATAACAATAGCTTCCAATTTAACCTTTCTGACAACGTTTTTTTTTAAATACATTGTCATCTACAACTACTACAAGAACCAGTTAACTGTCTTCATTTTACTCATTCTCTTCTTCTAGCTTTTCATCCTCTCATCATCTTCTCCTCCTTCTTGACCAGTACCTCCTCGTTGACCAGTACCTCCTCCTTGACCAGTACCTCCTCCTTGACCAGTACCTCCTCCTTGACCAGTACCTCCTTGACCAGTACCTCCTCCTTGACCAGTACCTCCTCCCTGACCAGTACCTCCTCCTTGACCAGTACCTCCTCCTTGACCAGTACCTCCTCCTTGACCAGTACCTCCTCCCTGACCAGTACCTCCTCATTGACCAGTACCTCCTCCCTGACCAGTACCTCCTCGTTGACCAGTACCTCCTCCCTGACCAGTACCTCCTCCCTGACCAGTACCTCCTCCTTGACCAGTACATCCTCATTGACCAGTACCTCCTCCTTGACCAGCACCTCCTCCTTGACCAGCACCTCCTACTTGACCAGTACCTCCTACTTGACCAGTACCTCCTCCTTGACCAGCACCTCCTACTTGACCAGTACCTCCTCCTTGACCAGTATCTCCTCCCTGACCAGTACCTCCTCCTTGACCAGTACATCCTCATTGACCAGTACCTCCTCCTTGACCAGCACCTCCTCCTTGACCAGCACCTCCTACTTGACCAGTACCTCCTACTTGACCAGTACCTCCTCCTTGACCAGCACCTCCTACTTGACCAGTACCTCCTCCCTGACCAGTACCTCCTCCTTGACCAGTACCTCCTCCTTGACCAGCACCTCCTCCTTGACCAGCACCTCCTACTTGACCAGTACCTCCTACTTGACCAGTACCTCCTCCTTGACCAGCACCTCCTACTTGACCAGTACCTCCTCCTTGACCAGTACCTCCTCCTCCTTTTTCTTCCACAACGATGTCAGTAGGACCGTGTTGGAAACCAGCTGGGGGACTTCTTAGGTCAGTCAATCAAGTTACTGTTGTCAATGTCTCATAGGGGCCGGAAAATGGGGGTCCATACTCACTGACCCCCCCCCCCCCCACCCCCCTCAAATGTCTCATAGTCTCCAGAATACGATGCCACGGTGCTGTACAAAGGAGCAGCACATACAATTTCCATAAAAATAACGAATTATTCATCATAAATAAACGCATCCTGGTTGATTTCAACGCAGTCAAATGTACAAATCCTGACAATGTCACTGTGCAACTAACATCAACAACCAAAACTAACAAACAGCGTCAACAAAAACATCCATAACAAACACTGGTCCTTCCAGTTTTCCTAGAGATTCATGGCGCCCCCTTTGCGCCCTTGTTTTCCAGTGTGGTTCTTGGAAAAGTTTATCATTACCTAGACACTTTTGTTCTGAAATGATTGGAGACAGTGGGTGGTTGACGTGTCAGACACCAGCCTGCCACGGCAACAGACACACCGACAGGCATGTCCAGTCGTCACAGGTCAGCAAGAGCCAGCGGCCTGGTCAGAATGTACCCATTCTTTAGGTGTCCAACCTGTCGGCAACAGCTATGTTTACTGCATGCAGGGAACCCTCTTGGTAAGATGTAGACTAGATCTGACAGATTACTAATACTTTTTATTATGTATGTACGTGAGTATGTATGTGTGTGTGTGTGATCTTTTTTTTTTTCTTACCCCTCAATCAAGTATATACCTTCATGTAATCAACATAGAAGCTCTATTAGATTCCCATTCTTGGTCATCTCCCAACAGTTCATTTCATGATCTCCGAACAATTACTTTCATGTTCTCCTAACAATTCCTTTTATGAGCTCCCAACACTATTGTTGTCTCCTTGTCTTATCTTCTCATCACAGTGTATGTTTACTACAGCCATCACCATCATCGTCCTTATAACCAAGTTCATGACTTACTGGAGAGGGCGATGATGCATCTCCACAATCTGCAGTCTTCAACAGATCATGACAAGACAGCATAACCAGTTAATTGTTTTCATTTTACTCACCTGCTTCCTCTAGTCTTCATCTTCTCTTCATCTACTCATCGTTCATCAGCACAACCACCACTTCCTTCTCCACCAGAATCACCACCTCCTCCTTCACCAGAACTACCACCTCCTCCTTCACCAGAACTACCACCTCCTCCTTCACCAGAACCTCTACCTCCTTCTTCACCAGAACCACCACCTTCTCCTTCACCAGAATCTCCACCTCCTCCTTCACCAGAACCACCACCTCCTCCTTCACCAGAACCTCTACCTCCTTCTTCACCAGAACCACCACCTTCTCCTTCACCAGAACCACCACCTCCTCCTTCACCAGAACCTCCACCTCCTCCTTCACCTCCTCCTTCACCAGAACCACCACCTCCTCCTTCTCCAGAACCTCCACCTCCTCCTTCACCAGAACCTCCACCTCCTCCTTCACCTCCTCCTTCACCAGAACCACCACCTCCTCCTTCTCCAGAACCTCCACCTCCTCCTTCACCAGAACCTCCACCTCCTCCTTCACCTCCTCCTTCACCAGAACCACCACCTCCTCCTTCTCCAGAACCTCCACCTCCTCCTTCTCCAGAACCTCCACCTCCTCCTTCACCAGAACTACCACCTCCTCCTTCACCAGAACCTCCACCTCCTCCTTCTCCAGAACCACCACCTTCTCCTTCACCAGAACTAACACCTCCTCCTTCACCAGAACCACCACCTCCTCCTTCTCCAGAATCTCCACCTCCTCCTTCACCAGAACTACCACCTCCTCCTTCACCAGAACTACCACCTTCTCCTTCACCAGAACTACCACCTTCTCCTTCACCAGAACTACCACCTCCTCCTTCACCAGAACTACCACCTCCTCCTTCACCAGAACTACCACCTCCTCCTTCACCAGAACCACCACCTTCTCCTTCACCAGAACTACCACCTTCTCCTTCACCAGAACTACCACCTCCTCCTTCACCAGAACTACCACCTCCTCCTTCACCAGAACTACCACCTCCTCCTTCACCAAAACTACCACCTTCTCCTTCACCAGAACTACCACCTCCTCCTTCACCAGAACCACCACCTTCTCCTTCACCAGAACCACCACCTTCTCCTTCACCAGAACTACCACCTTCTCCTTCACCAGAACTACCACCTCCTCCTTCACCAGAACTACCACCTCCTCCTTCACCAGAACTACGACCTCCTCCTTCACCAGAACTACCACCTTCTCCTTCACCAGAACTACCACCTCCTCCTTCACCAGAACCACCACCTTCTCCTTCACCAGAACTACCACCTCCTCCTTCACCAGAACCACCACCTCCTCCTTCTCCATAACCTCCACCTCCTCCTTCACCAGAACTACCACCTCCTCCTTCACCAGAACTACCACCTCCTCCTTCTCCAGAACCACCACCTTCTCCTTCACCAGAACTACCACCTCCTCCTTCACCAGAACCTCCACCTCCTCCTTCACCAGAACCTCCACCTCCTCCTTCACCAGAACCTCCACCTCCTCCTTCACCAGAACCACCACCTCCTCCTTCACCAGAACTACCACCTCCTCCTTCACCAGAACTACCACCTCCTCCTTCACCAGAACTACCACCTCCTCCTTCACCAGAACCTCCACCTCCTCCTTCACCAGAACTACCACCTCCTCCTTCACCAGAACCACCACCTCCTCCTTCACCAGAACTACCACCTCCTCCTTCACCAGAACTACCACCTCCTCCTTCACCAGAACTACCACCTTCTCCTTCACCAGAACCACCACCTCCTCCTTCACCAGAACCACCACCTCCTCCTTCACCAGAATCTCCACCTCCTCCTTCACCAGAACCACCACCTCCTCCTTCACCAGAACCTCTACCTCCTTCTTCACCAGAACCACCACCTCCTCCTTCACCAGAACCACCACCTCCTCCTTCACCAGAACTACCACCTCCTCCTTCACCAGAACCACCACCTCCTCCTTCACCAGAACTACCACCTCCTCCTTCACCAGAACTACCACCTTCTCCTTCACCAGAACCACCACCTCCTCCCTCACCAGAACCACCCCTCCTCCTTCACCTGAACCTCTACCTCCTCCTTCTCCAGAACCTCCACCTCCTCCTTCACCAGAACCTCCACCTCCTCCTTCACCAGAACTACCACCTTCTCCTTCACCAGAACCACCACCTCCTCCTTCACCAGAACCACCCCCTCCTCCTTCACCAGAACCTCTACCTCCTCCTTCTCCAGAACCTCCACCTCCTCCTTCACCAGATTCACCACCTCCTCCTTCACCAGAACCTCCACCTCCTCCTTCACCAGAACCTCTACCTCCTCCTTCACCAGAACCACCCCCTTCTCCTTCACCAGAACCTCCACCTCCTCCTTCACCAGAACCACCACCTCCTCCTTCACCAGAACCTCCACCTCCTCCATTGTGTGACCAAAGACTCATTGCGTGACCAAAGATTCATTGTGTGACCAAAGACTCATTGCGTGACCAAAGATTCATTGTGTGGCCTAAGATTAATTGTGTGACCAAAGATTCATTGTGTGACCAAAAATGCATCGCGTGACCCAAGATTCATTGTTTGGCCAAAGATTCATTGTTTGGCCAAAGATTCATTGTGTGACCAAAGATTCATTGTTTGGCCAAAGATTCATTGTTTGGCCAAAGATTCATTGTGAGACAAAAGATTAATTGTGTGGACCAAAGATTCATTGTGTGACCAAAGATTCATTGTGTGGCCAAAGAGCTATTGTGTGGTCTAATATTTATTGTGTGACCAAAGATTCATTGTGTGACCAAAGATTCATTGTGTGACCAAAGATTCATTGTGTGACCAAAGAGTTATTGTGTGACCAAAGATTCATTGTGTGACCAAAGATTCATTGTGTGACCAAAGATTCATTGTGTGACCAAAGAGTTATTGTGTGACCAAAGATTCATTGTGTGACCAAAGATTGATTGTGTGGCTGAAGATTCATTGTCTGACCAAATATTAATTGTGTGACCACAGATTCATTGTGTGACCAAAGATTCATTGTGTGACCAAAAATTTATTGTGTGATTAAAGATTCATTGTGTAGCCCAAGATTCATTGTGTGACCAAAGAGTTATTGTGTGACCAAAGATTCATTGTGTGACAAAAGATGCATTGTGTGACCAAAGAGTTATTGTGTGACCAAAGAGTTATTGTGTGGCCAATGAGTTATTGTGTGGCTAAAGATTCATTGTGTGGCCAAAGAGGATTTCTTTGACCAAAGAGTTATTGTTCTGGTAAAGAGTTATTGTGTGGCCAAAGATTCATTGTGTGACAAAAGATTCATTGTGTGACCAAAGATTCACTGTGTGACCAAAGATTCATTGTGTGACCAAAGATTTATTGTGTGACCAAAGATTCATTGTGTGACCAAAGAGATATTGTGTGACCAAAGATTCATTGTGTGACCAAAGAGTCATTGTGTGACCAAAGATTCATTGTGTGACCAAAGAGTCATTGTGTGACCAAAGATTCATTGTGTGGCCAAAGAGTCATTGTGTGACCAAAGATTCATTGTGTGACCAAAGAGTTATTGTGTGACCAAAGATTCATTGTGTGACCAAAGATTCATTGTGTGACCAAAGATTCATTGTGTGACCAAAGATTCACTGTGTGACCAAAGATTCACTGTGTGACCAAAAATTAATTGTGTGACCAAAGATTCATTGTGTGACCAAAGATTCATTGTGAAGCCCAAGATTCATCGTGTGGCCCAAGAGTTACTATTCTCATTCAGAAGTTTACCAAATGTGGAAATATTTAAAAGAGTACAGTAAAACCTTGTTAACACGAATTCCTGGAGATTACAAACTCCAAGGTCGACCCAGCCTAAAATGGGTACCAGGATGGGCTGTCCTGGGAAAGTAAAGACAGCCGGCGTAATGCTGAACACATTACCCACAGAGTGCTGATGGTCTGTAAAAATATGGGGCGCTCTGCCCATATGCCCGATGCGCCGAAAGGCGTGAAAAAGGAACTTTACTTTTTTACTTTTACAAATGGAGTTGGTGTTAAAAAATGTGTGTTGACTGAGGATTTGATAACAATAAAAATAAACACCTGATGACACAAAGTGCCACCATGTGGATGAAGATCGCCGTGGTGAGGTCTCAGAAACCGCGTTCAGACAATTGGCCATATTTATGGCCTGCCTATATTGCGGCCCCTGGCAAAAGCCAGGGTGGGGCTTCAAATAACAAATAATTCGTCCTAAAAAGGACGAAACTGGATATTATTAGAGATAGAAGGCGCACTTTCGTTCTGGTTAACACTCAGGTTAACATCGGCACTAAACCGATTGGTTAATTTCGATCCAATATAAGATCATTGGCTGTAATTTTGTGACATGTGCCCTGTCTCTATCTGTCCTCATTATATTGATGTAAGATAATGTTCATCTACTGCTATCTGACAGTGTGACTTTCTGTTCCCCACCCCACCCCCATGTTGTCACGCTACTGTTTGACCCCCAACACCACACAGGCTGCCTACGGACAATAATGCAAGAAATGCCGAGTGACTTGTATGCCCTACCAAGTTGAACAGATCGTCTGCTCCAAATGCGATGAGACCACGTGCGTCTGTGAGAAAGATCAAAAAGAGCGCCATGTCGACCCGGCCAAACATCCCCGCCAGGAACTGTGCGCCAAATGTAAGGCTGGCATCCCATGTACCCGCCGATACTGACTGTCAGACACATAAGTGTGCTCAAACAGATCCCCATACACGGTGTGATCTGTTTCCTTTGGAGAAACTATACTATTTACCTGACAGTGTGACCCGGTTGTGTGACTCTCCTAGCTGGTAATGAGCAGAGTCATTGAATGTATACCTGGACGTTCGTTAGTGTACTGTCCACGAGTCGTGCTGGAGTGCGAGGCTATGAGAGAGCTGATCGTTTGGCTTCAAGAGTTCTAGATGTTTAAAACTAGTGTTGACTGAAATGACCAGTACCTGCAGTTTATTAGAACCTACGAAGAAGACGAAATATCACTGGGGAGGGGGAGGATGAGACAGGGGGCAAAAAGTGGGGTAGTTGGGTATCTTGTATGTTTTGATGTTGATTTTTCATAAAAACCTGTAGAACGCCCATTGCTGTCATAACGTGATACATGGTCTCTGTGATTAAATGACAAAATTCAAGTAAAGAATCCATTTATTCATTTGTTGCCCCAGCGGTGCCAGTAAACTGTACATGTTGCCCCAGCAGTGCCAGTAAACTGTACATGTTGTCCCAGCAGCGCCAGTAAACTGTACATGTTGCTCCAGCAGTGCCAGTAAACTGTACATGCTGCTCCAGCAGTGCCAGTAAACTGTACATGTTGCCCCAGCAGTGCCAGTAAACTGTACATGTTACCCCAGCAGTGCCAGTAAACTGTACATGTTGCTCCAGCAGTGCCAGTAAACTGTACATGTGGCCCCAGCAGTGCCAGTAAACTGTACATGTTCCCCCAGCGGTGCCAGTAAACTGTACATGTTGTCCCAGCGGTGCCAGTAAACTGTACATGTTCCCCCAGCAGTGCCAGTAAACTGTACATGTTCCCCCAGCGGTGCCAGTAAACTGTACATGTTGTCCCAGCGGTGCCAGTAAACTGTACATGTTCCCCCAGCGGTGCCAGTAAACTGTACATGTTCCCCCAGCAGTGCCAGTAAACTGTACATGTGGCCCCATCAGCGCCAGTAAACTGTACATGTTGCTCCAGCAGTGCCAGTAAACTGTACATGTGGCCCCAGCAGTGCTAGTAAACTGTACATGTGGCTCCAGCAGCGCCAGTAAACTGTACATGTTGTCCCAGCGGTGCCAGTAAACTGTACATGTTCCCCCAGCAGCGCCAGTAAACTGTACATGTTGCTCCAGCAGTGCCAGTAAACTATACATGTGGCCCCAGCAGTGCCAGTAAACTGTACATGTTGCTCCAGCAGTGCCAGTAAACTGTACATGTTGCTCCAGCAGCGCCAGTAAACTGTACATGTTCCCCCAGCAGTGCCAGTAAACTGTACATGTTGCTCCAGCAGAGCCAGTAAACTGTACATGTGGCCCCAGCAGTGCCAGTAAACTGTACATGTTGCTCCAGCAGTGCCAGTAAACTGTACATGTTGCTCCAGCAGTGCCAGTAAACTGTACATGTGGCTCCAGCAGCGCCAGTAAACTGTACATGTTGCTCCAGCAGCGCCAGTAAACTGTATATGTTGCTCCAGCAGTGCCAGTAAACTGTACATGTGGCTCCAGCAGCGCCAGTAAAATGTACATGTGGCTCCAGCAGTGCCAGTAAACTTTACATGTGGCTCCAGCTGTGCCAGTAAACTGTACATGTGGCCCCAGCAGTGCCAGTAAACTGTACATGTTGTCCCAGCAGTGCCAGTAAACTGTACATGTTGCCCCAGCAGTGCCAGTAAACTGTACATGTTGCTCCAGCAGTGCCAGTAAACTGTACATGTTGTCCCAGCAGTGCCAGTAAACTGTACATGTTGCCCCAGCAGCGCCAGTAAACTGTACATGTTGCTCCAGCAGTGCCAGTAAACTTTACATGTGGCTCCAGCAGTGCCAGTAAACTGTACATGTGGCCCCAGCAGTGCCAGTAAACTGTACATGTTGCCCCAGCAGCGCCAGTAAACGGTACATGTTGTCCCAGCAGTGCCAGTAAACTGTACATGTGGCTCCAGCAGTGCCAGTAAACTGTACATGTTGTCCCAGCAGTGCCAGTAAACTGTACATGTTGTCCCAGCAGTGCGAGTAAACTGTACACGTTGTCCCAGCAGTGCCAGTAAACTGTACATGTTGTCCCAGCAGTGCCAATAAACTGTACATGTGGCTCCAGCAGTGCCAGTAAACTGTACATGTTGCCCCAGCAGTGCCAGTAAACTGTACATGTGGCTCCAGCAGTGCTAGTAAACTGTACATGTTGTCCCAGCAGTGCCAATAAACTGTACATGTGGCTCCAGCAGTGCCAGTAAACTGTACATGTTGCCCCAGCAGTGCCAGTAAACTGTACATGTGGCTCCAGCAGTGCCAATAAACTGTACACGTTGTCCCAGCAGTGCCAGTAAACTGTACATGTTGCCCCAGCAGTGCCAGTAAACTGTACATGTGGCTCCAGCAGTGCTAGTAAACTGTACATGTTGCCCCAGCAGTGCCAGTAAACTGTACATGTGGCTCCAGCAGTGCCAGTAAACTGTACATGTTGTCCCAGCGGTGCCAGTAAACTGTACATGTTGTCCCAGCGGTGCCAGTAAACTGTACATGTGGCTCCAGCAGTGCCAGTAAACTGTACATGTGGCTCAAATATATCATTCTATTTCAAGAATTGTCCCAGCAGCGCCAGTAAACTGTACATGTTGCCCCAGCAGCGCCAGTAAACTCTACATGTGGCTCAAGTATATCGTTCTATTTCAAGAATTGTCCCAGGATATTATTAGAAATATTAAAGAAAAAAAATCCTGTTTCAAAATCACCCAGTTACAGATCGCAAAACTAAAACAATAAAACAAAACATTATTACCGAAGGGAAAAGGTGAACTCGTTAGAGAAAAAAAAAAGACGCAGTGGTTCATTTGAATAGTTTGTACAGGATACACTTAGACATTGTTGATGAGATCCTGGGTAAAATAGCCCGGCAGATTATATAGCCCACTGTGAGACGACTCATTTTTGATGGGATCCTGGGTAAAACAGCCCGGCAGGTTATATTCCCCACTGTAAGACAATTCAATGTTGATATGATCCTGAGGAAAACAGCCCGGTAGTTTAAATGACCCACTGTAAGACAACCTAATGTTGATGGGATCCTCGGGAAATCAGCCCGGCAAATTATATGGCCCACTGTAAGACAACTCAATGTTGATAGGATCCTAGGAAAAACAGCCCGGCAAGTTATATGGCCCATTGTAAGACAACTCAATGTTGATAGGATCCTGGGAAAAACAGCCCGGCAAGTTATATGGCCCATTGTAAGACAAATCAATGTTGATAGAATCCTCGGGAAAACAGCCCGCAGGTTATATTGCTCACTGCAAGACAACCCAATGTTGATATAATCCTGGGGAAAACAGCCCGGCAGTTTAAATGACCCACTGTAAGACAACTTAATGTTAACGGGATCCTCGGGAAAACAGCCCGGCAAATTATATGGCCCACTGTAAGACAACTCAATGTTGATAGGATCTATTGCGGAAACAATATTACCCCCCCCCCCACACACACACACACACACACACACACACATAAAGACAAAAAAAATTGCAATAAAAACATAACAGATACTCATTAATAATTGGTTAACATTATTACATGAGCACCATGTACTTCGAAAGATGTAAACTCCAGCCTGGTTCCGAATGCTACATAATGTATTGATTACCTGTGGTGTATCAAGCTGCAATCATATACCCATATACACATATTTACAAGTGACTTGTGCAATCCTTATAGGCTCAAGTATATAGTTTGCACTTGAGCCCAGGGCTAGCGACATGCATATGCAATCTGCTTGCATATATGTTTATACAGAGATCAGGACCATTTATAAATTCGTATCCTTGCTTTTTCACTGCTTACAGAGCAGATATCGTCAGTATTAATACTGATACTGCCCATAGGCTGCAACACTTCAACTTCAGTGGACCCTGGTTTTCATGCAGCTTCTAGAGCAACACACTAATACTTACTTCCTCCTATATTGTTGTATTAGCAGTCACTTATAATCCTTTTTTTTTCCTTGCCGTCATCATAACCAGCCATGTCAATACAAACCATTTCTGACCTCCGTTCTTGCGGACAACCCAGCGATAAATTTTGCTTTGTGACAATAACGTTTCGACGGACATACCAGCATCAGTCAGAAACTTACTTTTTTGGGTAGCTACATCTTTACTGGCTCCGTCAGAATTGCACACAGTTGAGCAGCTGTCATCGGTTTCTTCTTATAATCCGCCCGTGTTGCGTTGGTAGTCATGTCTTTCCACAATCTTCTGTCTTGTGTACTTTTCACCATTTCAGACACTGCAATGATTCTCTTGCACTCAGTCTCTTGGCTCTTATCGCTTGCAGATGTCTCACATGTACACTGACATATGCTTCAGCATGTTGAATCAGTCAACGAGGCGAACGCACAGGTGGTCTTGGCCATATTTATGTATTTGTTCACACAGCTGACTCTGAACTAGTGCACACAGTTACTGTCTAGGCGACTACAAATCGGTCACTGATATCAATATATCAGATCGGACGTTATTACCTTCACAGGGAAAGACAAATAGACATTCTTCCGGCGACAGCTTGACGGTTATAACTTTCCACGTTGAACAGTCACAAACACGACGTCCAGCCTTGACCGAAGATGTCAGACCAAACGGGTAGCCAGGTTTTGCATCGGAACTCACAACCAATTCTGATTTAGTCGTTCACTTGTAAATCGGTTCATTAAGCAATCAATCTTCTCACACGTCGTCAGACACATCGTTCCTAGACCTTTTACAGCCTAGCAAATGACACCACAACATCTAGCATGAGAATGGAGAAGGAGGCGGTAACTACAGCTCTCCGGTGGCTACAGAACAAGATACATACACAAGGCGTAATTGTAGCAGACTCTGAAAGCATGCTGTAAAAAAAAGTGAAGACAGGAATGCTTCAAGCAGAGTGGTAAGCTTCACTGGAAAGGTAACGCTTATCGAGCATACTTTTGATC